GAGTGAGTGTGAGTGAGTGTGAGTGAGTGTGAGTGAGTGTGAGTGAGTGTGAGTGAGTGTGAGTGAGAGTGAGTGTGAGTGTGAGTGTGAGTGTGTGTGTGAGTGAGTGAGTGAGTGAGTGAGTGAGTGAGTGAGTGAGTGAGAGAGGAGGACGGGAGGCGGAGGAGGAAGGCGGATACAGAACTAAAAACAAAAACCCCACACGTCAATGTGGACATTGCGTCGTCATACGGCTCCATGACAAATAGACGATGACCTATGTACATCTTGAGCCTCTACCTGTGATAGTTCCAGGTGTCCTTTCAAGTCGACATGGCATCTTGAGCATCTGCACAATTCGCTAGGGTCAGCACAGAAGCAGATCAGAGTGCATCTTCTCATATGCCCTCATTCGCCTAGCAGCACATGCATGGCACTTGTTTCATGTTATTTGTAACAGGTGCGTGTTTTTGTATTCGGTCCTTTTTCTTCCTTTTGTTTTTTTCTTGTTGCCTTTTTTTGCTGCGTGCTAAAATACAAGTCTACAGGTTTGCAACTTGACTTGAAAACAAAGTCTTGAAAGAGTATTAGCCGTCTCCAGATGTAATCAGCAAGTAGCTTCAAGCACCTTGGAAAGCGTGCAAAATAATCTATTCATTCACCTTGTTACGTAGAACGCCTGCCCAGATGCGATCAGCAAGTAGCTTCAAGCACCCGAGAAAGCATTCCAAATGATATATTCATATTCATAACCTTGTTCATATCACCTTGTTGCAAACCTGTATGGATATCTTCCCTCAGGTTCATACTTGCTGCGGCTGTTGAAAAAATGGCAAATCTGACAGGAATGTCGCGAAGGTATGCACTGCACAAGCGCAAACGGTCGAAATGTCACCAACATGGTGCCACATCAAACCGCTAAATCCCCAGCAATTCTTATGGTTCCGGGGCGCTTTGCTCGTCAGATAGTGCGCGAGGCTCTGCGCAAGTTGAACTGGCTGGATTACTTTTTGAAAATTTGTGGAAAATTCATTTCGTACATTTGTTGCCCAATCACTATTTGCCAGATTCATGACATTTTTGGTTGCAAACTTGTTGCTCTGTGGCGGTGCATTTTCGGCAAAGTTCGTTTCGTATATCTTCAGGAGCTCTTCGTAGAGGAAAGCCAGCATCCAATAGTAGGCATGATACTGCAAAGGTGGCAATTGGGTGAATTTGGTCTCTTCTTGGGAATATCCATGCCCGCGTGCCTCATGTGCCGCACGTGGCACGCTGTGAGGCTTTGGCGGAGCAAACACACTTTCTCCGGCTCGAGTGCGAAAAAATTGCCGATGATTCAGATTGCTGACAGCAACCAAAGGCATTGAGACATGGAATTCCGTCGATAGACGGGCCCAGCAATCCATGCATGCACTTTGTT